GATCTGCCTATCTGCTTGTCGTACCTTCCGATTTAGCAAAGCACGCTAATATCAAAAAGACAAAGGCTGGACTGTGACTGTGTATTGAAGTGCAACAACGACAAAGAAAGCCATGGTATTTATACATTTTACAACAATATGGACAGCTAACAGCATTTGAAATAATTGATCTTAATAGCCAATAACAAAGTGCATGAGAGATGATAATATACCATATGTGCGAGATTGACAGTCAATAACAAAATGTGTGGGAATGATAACATACCATATATGCAATATTAACAGTCAATACCAAAATGTGTGGGATCCTATCACATATTTAATCCCCGATTGCATAAACAATTATTCGTCATACTAGTTATGATCCCATTAGATTTTTTTATCCAAACATCCTGTCTATTTTTGTTATTTCTGCATTTTTAACCCCTAACTGCACAAAATGTCAATCTTCTCAGTAATTATGATGCTACCTTGTTTGAGTTTTACCCCACCCCCTTGTTTATTATGGCATTTTAATTCCTAATTGTAACCTTATTAATTTTACCCTTGACCGGAAATTATTCTGGGACTTTTGATGTGGTTGTGTTCTCTGAGCTGGATGGTTAATTTGCTAAGCTTTCATAGCCATTCAGAGCTTCAATTTGAAGTATGCGCTGAAGATGTCGCCTAGTAGGGCGATGACAGCTTCGCAGATAAACCATCCAGCTCAGAGAACACAACCACATCAAAATCATCCACCTGAGCTACAAATCTTCTCTATCATATTCTGTGACTTTGTCATCCATTTGTTACAAATACACAAATGTACAGCCTAGATGATGACTTCGTCGAAAAAAAAATTTTCTTTCTTCGCTGCAATTGTCTTTTTATTATTCCCCATGAACAAAGAAGTGAGGTAAAAAAAAGGTGTCAGGAACTGCCTAAAGCAGAACAGGCTTCAGGTAATCGAGACCTCAGAGAACATTATATCAGATAACTACCAGCTCTCTACCCAGGATAAGATCAGTGGAGATAAAACCAATGAAAGATTGTAAAGGAAACCAAGTTACTAATCACTTTAAAGGACTCTTAAACTTAACTACCACCTGGTACTCATGCAGAAATACCATCAACAACAAACACATAAGTACCAGTGAATACCAGCCTTCTGAAGAGAAAAAACAGCAACAACTTAAGTCTTTAATCTCATGAAGTTTCCTGAAAACAATACTTTAATGTATTTTAAAAGAAAAAGTTAATTTTTGGTTCCCTTGATAAATTTCGATAAAGAAAGGAAGACGAAATTTGCAGTATAAAATGATATCGTCATCAATCTATTTCACCGGTTCTCATCAGCTGCACACCACTACCTGAAATTACAATGGCTATATAGATGATAATAACATACTTTAATGTTTATGTGCTAATAGTAGAGAAGAGATACTATAAAATTGACGCATCTAAATGAAAGCAACATTACAATTTTTCAGTTTAAGTTTTTATCATCAATTTATACGCTTTTAAAATTGAAGTCTCGATGGGTTCGCCTCTGGGAACTATCCTGGCTGATATCTTCATGGGCTACCTTGAACAGACACAACTAAGTTCTGCTATCAGTGGAACGACCTACTATCGCCGATATGTTGATGACACATTTGTTGTTTGCAACGATATGGATCAAGCATCGGCACTGTATGATCACCTAAATGAGATCAATCCAAATATCAAATTCACCATGGAATATGAACATAATAATGAGTTCAATTTCCTGGATCTAAATGTAAAAAGAACAAACGAAGGCATGGTTGAAAAGTCCATCTATAGAAACCAAACCTGGACTGGACAATATCTTCACTATAACAGCTTTTGTCCCATAAGCTATAAACGTGGATTAGTGAGGACTTTGTACGATAGAGCCAGGAAGCTATGTTCGCCAAACACGGTCGAAGAAGAATTAGATTTCGTCGAGAAATGCCTAAAGGAAAATGGATAGCCTAAGGGATTTATACAGAAGTATAGTAGAGAAAAAGATAAGAAGGAAAAGTATCCAACTGTAGAAAAGAAAAAAGTGTTTATTTGTCTACCAAAGAAAGGAGATTCAGTGTCACAAAATATTGACAAAAATTGAAAGGTGTAATAAATAGAAGCTTTCCGGCAGCAAAACTCATAACAGTATACAGCACCACTCTTTCTTTAATCCACTCAAAACTGAATAAATACCCTGTTGATGTCACCTCCAACTGCGTTTATGAATTCACGTGCACTTTCGGGAGCAAGTACATTGGAAGGACAGAAAGAAGGGCTTCTATCCGGTTTTCTGAACATATTCCCAAACACCTGTGACTGAAAGGAAGCAGATATCCCAGAGTGCAATTACCAGACACATTGTTGATACCGGGCATCTCGTAGAGATTTCTAAATCCCTCAAAGTATTAGATAGACAAAGGACAGAAAAATTACTATGATTTGCCGAAGCGATCGCAATCAAATGACTCACACCAACCAGACTTATGCATGCAGAAAGAGAATGTGATTAACTTCTCACTTCCTTGGTAACAGAATTTCGATTTTGATTAGTCATCTAATTCAATGATCTCAACTCACTGAACAAATCTTAATCTCATAAACTGTAACCGCTTTTGTTTCTTGAGTTGCTATGTGAACCTACAAGCTAACACTGTTCTGTGAACTAATTTTTCTGTTTTCTGTCTTACCCTTCCCACCACTGTTCAACTTTAAAGGCGTATAAATTGATGATAAAAACTTGAACTAAAAAATTGTTATTTAAGTGTTGGTTTGTAGGGATTTGATTGGTTTCAGGATTTCATCATGAGCTGACATTAGTTAGAGAACCATTGGAAAACCTTTGGAGTACTGGACAGCTGTTTTGTCCTGGTTTGAGACTCTTCAGCAGTACACATCCACCGCCACGATTCGAACCCAGGACCTTCCGGTTACAAGGCGAGCTTATATACCATTAAGCCACTGGGACCCGATCCAATGGTCCTTGAATTCTAACTTCTGCCAATTCACGACATAGCGCGACCGCTAGCCAATGTCTTCGGTGAGTATTTGTCCTCACACCCGACCAGCTGCACCCTACTGGTCACGACTTCCCACTGGAACCCAGGTAACTACCTACCTGAATAGGGCCAGTCGCCAGTGAGCATCTCATTGGTATTTAAGTGTTGGTTTGTAGGGATTTGATTGGTTTCAAAAAATTGTAAAACTGTAAAAATTGTAAAAAATTGTAAAAAAATTGTAATGTTGCTTTCATTTAGATGCGTCAATTTTATAGTATCTCTTCTCTACTATTAGCATTTAAACATTAAAGTATGTTATTATCATCTATATAACCATTGTAATTTCAGGTAGTGGTGTGCTCAGCTGATGAGAACCGGTGAAATAAATTGATGACGATATCATTTATACTGCAAATTTCATCTTCCTTTCTTTATCGAAAAAAAATTAATTAATAAAAAAAAATTAAAAAATCTTTGATTGGTTCTTTGATTGTCTAATCCAGGTAGAAAGTGTGTGTGTGTGTGTGTGAGGGAGAGAGGGAGTGAGATGGTCAGCTGATTAAATTTCAACCAATCCACGCTGACACATTAATTTTCATCCAATCTAATTCATCATAGTCAACCTGCCAACCATATATTGAATTGTGAATAAGCCACACATCATTGCTTATATGATTATGCTTTCATGCTGTCTATTAAAACATCATAAATCATAAACCACACACACACACCAACATCAGACAATGCAAGCACACACTCACACACACACGCACACACAATATCACCTGGTGGTATTTCTTCATCCTCCTTCTCCTAATTTATGAAACAGACGGCAAACAAAATTAAGCCGGGAAGAAATACCTCTAGTCACCGTCATCTAATTCCCTGAATGTCTATCTCTGGATTTATTTAATGCTGATATCACATAATTTATAGTCCCCATTACCTTCCACAATGTACCGTATTCTGAGCAGTAATCATTTATCTATGATAATTATTTTGCTTATTATTAGTGAGTTATTCATAGCCACGTTGAACAGTAATCCTGTTACGTCATCTTCATCATTATCGACAGGAATCTACGGTCAACAAAGATGTATGAAACCGGTACCAATACAAATACCAGAATGTCAAAATACCTTTTATAATTATACAGGTATGCCAAATTTAGTTGGTCAAGAGACTCAATTCGATGCTAGACATCAACTGCAAACTTTTAAACCATTAATCACTTATAAATGTTCATCAAAGTTAAATTTTTTCCTTTGCTCAGTATATACACCAATGTGTGATGTAAATACGCATTATTTAATTGGCCCGTGTCGTCCATTGTGTGAACATGTTCGAGCAAGATGTGCACCTGTATTAAGAGTTTTTGATTTTGATTGGCCAGAGAATTTGAATTGTTCAAGATTCCCGGTGAAAAATAGTGTCGGTGGTGCAATGTGTATGGAAGGTCCAGAAGACTTGGATGAGGATAATAATAATAATATATAATATTAATAATCAGGATACACAACAGATAGTATGACAAATAGTCATTTAAAAGCCAACGGGAATAATCCTGTTGTCTATCAAAGCTTACCACTGGATCCTTCCGTGAAAGAAGTATTACACGCAATCTCATTAGATGCCAATCATAAGATGCCAAACCATATTGAAGGAATGAAAGGAGTTATAACGAAGGAAAAGAAGAAAGAGACAAAGAGAAGAAGAAATGGGGGACGAGGAAAGAGTAAGATTCAGCAGATTAATGGAAAAATTGACCAGTGGAGATTTGCCTTCAACAATAACAGGATCTAAAGATCTCCTACCGCATACATTCAACTCCCAATTTGCAAAATATCCAATATCTTTAAGTCATTTAGCCCAATCAATACGTTATTGTTCCCATTTGAAAAAACCAACCTTTTATGTTTATATTAATCGTACAGGAAGGTGTGCACCCCTTGCGAAGCTGATATTCTCTATACATCTGAGGCAAAAACACTATCAACAATGTGGACTAGCGTATTAGCCGGTATCTGTAGTCTAGTGACAACATTCACCCTGGTACGGTATGCTATGAATCCGTGCGATTTTCGACCAAATGAAAAACCAATCGTGTATATTGCATTATGTCAATTACTGTTTGCTCTTGGTTATGGGTTAAGTTTAGGCCTAGGTAGAGAAACTGTAACCTGTGGCCGAGATTTAGACTCAGGACGTAAAATTCGCCTACAAGAAGGTTTAGATAATGCCATGTGTGCATTTGTCTTTATGGTTCAGTACTTCTTCTCCATAGCTAGTTATATTTGGTGGACTATGCTTGTCTTTCATTGGGCACTACAAAGAACCGGGATGATATTCTCGTGTTTATGTTGCTCCACCGCGTCGTCATCCTCGACGCCACCACCAATACCACTACAATCAAACTGTCATCGCTTCCAGGAGTACCATCTACGACAGGTAGTAATCCGTGTGAAATGAATATTAAACCTGATTCAAAATTCAATAGTGGTTGTTACAAATTGAACGGCTTTTTTGTTCATGCCTTGAAACTTCAGTAAATTCGAATAAATCTGAAATTATTACAAATGAAGGATTAGTTCAGAATAATAATCCACCTCTAACAGGGGCAACAACTCAAAATGATGCTACGAAAAGAGATTGTTATCATCGTTATTATCATCAGCAACAAAAGCATTCTAATCAATATTGGTTAACAATGAATTCGAATCATCAACGGTATGCTATGTTTACACCGAAAACAGATCAAATTACAGCATGTTTAGCTAGAGAACATGTTGTCGCCTGGTTGACAGCTGGTCTATTCACTGTTGGTGTTCTTGTCAGCCGACAAGTAAGTTAATGCAAGAATGATTTATTGATAAATGTATGCTTTTATTATCAAGTTTTAGTTTCCAGTGATGTGATTGGTTACATATTTGATCATGAGTTAGAGAACCATTGGGAAACAAGAAGGTAAACTACTGGATAGATGTTTCATACCAGTTCGAGACGCTTCAACAGATCCAAACCACCGAGTTCGAATTCAGGGCCTTCCGGTTATAAAGAAAGCTTGTAGACAGTTCAGCTACGCAGACCCAATCTAATGATCCAAATAGAAAAATGTATATATCTCAGTCTCTAGCCACCATCATAGGCTCTCAGATATTCTAATGGTTGTGTACATAACCAAGTTCAGAAATAGCGTCCGAGAAGTATGAACGCTCCAGTGACCTTGAACGCATGATAGTCGTTGGCCAACGACACCTGTCATTATTTTAGCGCAAATATGAACACTATTCACTAACTAAGGAGCAAATGTCATCCAGATCACGTGTTTAAGAACTGTCTGGACAATGTTTTAATAGCTCGTTAGGGTTAGGATTACGGTTAAAGTAAGTTTTGGGGTTAGGGTTAGGTTAACGGTTAGGATAAGGGTTGTAATTAGGGTTAGGATTAAGGTTAGGGTTAGTGTTAAGTTTAGGGTCAGTATTATGGTTAAGGTTACGATTTGGGATAGATTTATAGTTGATGTCATTTATCTCAATTTGTTTTATTGTCCACATTTCCCTAGTAAGTAGTTGTCGATCCTCTTACTGAAACCATAGTAATTCAACCGAGGGTTTATCGGGTAGACTGCACAACAGGATAAAAGAGATGAACGATTCACAAAAACAGCTCATGTTCAGTTACCTAGGTGAATACATATACAGTAACTAGTTTCACTTAGCAACTGATACTTCTTGTTATAACTGAGAAGTAGTTTTAAGTCTTTTCAGAGAAAGATAACCTGTGTAATGTGTTTTCATGCATTTTCTTGTAAATATACGTCATTTTTCATGTGAAAATTCCTCATTTTTTGATTGGTCAGCTCAAAGTCACTCGTGCGCTCTCATCCCTTGGAACGCTATTGTTGAACTTTACCCTGTAAATACTGTCAACTTGTGATCAATCTCAATATGGCGTAATCTGACATTTAAAAGTCTTGGAGTTTATGTTATCAAAATGTGCAAAACCACTAATTTATTTAAATTTTTATCTACCCCTTGTCATAAGTGACTCCCTCTATAGGTAAAAAATTACTAGTCATATGAAATGTATCATTAGAAATAGGTTAAGATGGTATCTGAAGGTTAATTGGTGGATAGTGACTAGCAGTGGAATCCAGGATACTGCGCATTTTGGTCCTATTTAGGACACGTCAGTGACTGGATGTACCTGCATTCTCCAGTGAGTGATGATGATCCCACTGAGGCTCGAACCCAGTGCCTATAATTTCAAACGCCAAAACGTGAGAACATCATCACTCACTGCGGAATGCAGGTACATCCAGTGGCTGACGGATCCCAAATAGGACAAAATGCGAGTTATCTTGGATTCAACTGCTAGTCACCATCCACCAATCAACTTCTAGTTACATGCCCAGACATCATTGAAGCATCTGCACAAGAAGCCGACAGACTTAGCAACCTGAGACTGAGCACTTCAGTCCAATCACTCGACCGGAAAATCTAAAATTAAATTGAATAACACGGTATCATCCTTGTTTTTTTATTTCGTCGCCTTCTCATCACCTGTTTATACCGTAAGGAAATTCATTAGATTTATGTTTAGAAAAAAAATTATTGACATACTTGCAAATGTTGCGTAATATCAGTTGACAGGAAACTGAAAACATTTCTGGAGTCAGGTCGTTCAGCCCCACATGATTTATCCTTCAAAAATATATACATCACCGAATCTAGCCACTCCAAAAGCTTACATTTTCTCCACTTATACATAGACGAAGGTCTAGCTATATATGCACAGAAACCAAAATTATGTTTTTAAACGCATTTTGTTAAACTTCTTTCATTTTATTCACCTTATTATTGTCTGTCAATACATTACCATCGTCTTTTCAGCTGAGATTTATTTTTCTATTTCACCTGATATTTTCTACACTACCGTCCAAGTGTTCATTTTAATGGTTAGTTAATAATTACACTGTTCGAGTCCTGCTTGACTTGCTTCAGCTTGAGGGCAACTAGATAGTATTACTAGTGCCTTACATAATAAGTAAGCCGCATATCTCGATTCATAAAACATCTTTCCGGCGTTACTAAATACAAAAACGAAAAGAAAACTTTACTAGTTTAAAATAGTGTGTGGTCGAAGTGTCAGCGAACGTCAATGAAGAATTATTGGACTAAGAGTATTCATAATTTTGATTTCTGGGAAGTAGTGCGAAACTCTGCGGAATTTTGCTAATGTCTGAAAATTATTACAAATAACGTGCTAACGATTTCCCAGTGCAGTTAAAAAACTTCCAATGTTACCTTAATTCCTGGGAAAAATGACTGTATTGCTGAATACGCTTGTCCAATACAGAAAAATCTCCATTTAATGTTGATCTTTGAGCCTGAAGATGCGAACTACTCGAGTGTTTGGCATATAGTTTCAGAACACCAATTCGTACGAAACAGGAAGAAAAACACTGCGTCGGTGGCACGGTGTTTACGACTCTCGCCGACCATTCACATGGTCCAAGGTTCGATACACTGCCGACGGACACCTGATATCTATGGTCGGCCTGCAAAATTTAGGCTACCGATATCCATGCTGAAAATTCCATACTTGTACCAAAAAACAGTGTGGAATCAAGCTGTAAATTATAAAAAAACAGTGCTTGGAACTTCCACTTTTATCACTTATACATCGAAAGGATCTTGAGTACTGTAACGAAGTAATTATGGTATAAAAACAAGAGGAGGGTGAGTAGGTGATGCATAACTAATAAAGTAAGTAAGAATGCAGTGAGGAGCTCAATTCAGTTGACAAACAGAAGAGACAAGCAAAGTTACACTATATCAAAGAGGGGGAGGGGTTAAAGTAGAAGATTACTAAATCGAATTAAAGAGATAGTAAGGATATACAATTACAAGGTCAATAAAAAAAAACAAACAAGTTTAAGGCAATAAAACAAAGAAGATAAATAGTGCAACCAGGCGACCAAAACAGTTTGACACAACTTGTATCGACTAGGATCTAAAAAACTATATGTTAAACTATATATGTATATTTCGCAATAAAAAGTTACATTCATGCAATCCTAATTAGTTACAACTGTTTATTCTCTGAGCTGGATGATTTAGCTGAGAAGTTTCCATTGTCTTTCGAGACATCACCTTTGATGAGTACCCAAATTGTTGTACCCCAGTGGTGGTCACAACTTCTCACTAGAACCCCGGTAACTACCTACCTGAATAGGGCCAGTCGCAAGTGGACATCAAACTGATAATCAAGTGTTAATTTGCAAGGATTTGATTCGTCACAGGATTTCTTGATGGGAGGACATCGTTTAGAAAACCACTGGAAAGCCTTGGAGTACTGAACAGCTGTTTCGTTCTAATTTGTGACTCTCTACCGGGGTTTGAACCCAGTTTGAACGCCTCTTTAAATTGCGAGTGCCAACAAGCACGAAAACTAGGTTATTCATGGCTTCCTGACAATTGCAAATAACAATCTAATGACAAAACCTTAGAGTGTGCCATGGTGGCAAGCCACCTAGTGGCATGGTTTCCACACTGTTAACTTGACTTCAACACCAAGGATTCGACGCACGACACTAGTTATCACCTAGTGTCCAATCAAAGAATCGTATTCTCCAAAAACGTCTCATGGTAATTGCCCTAGACAGTGTTCACTTCTGAAAGATACAACATTACTGTGACTAGAATAAACAACATCCATTTGTCTCATATTTTCTGATGGCATTTTAATCCATAGCATTTCATTTGTTAATGGGAATTAGTTAAGTGGTTCAAGGTATTTTGACCTCTTGACTCATTTAATCAATTGATTAATTAGCATATTTATTTATTTAAATGGGGTCTTGAAGGGATTCAGACATGACACAGGAAGTGTGAGATGAATAAAATTCTATACGTCAAGAGAGAGAGAGAGACCGGTATCTATTGCTAGCTGACTAATGCTACTGATCATTTTAGAAACGGCGGATATTTTAAAAGTCTGAACTATCAGGTTGTGATGAGAGCAGGCTGCTAGCCGATTGGTAGACATTAATTTGCGTCAATGTCTAGGTCAATAATATTGGCCGTGAGAAAATATGAACAAGGCTGACTCAACAACCAATCACAGCAGACTTAAGGTGGGCAAATAAGATTCGCAGAGATATGGCTTAACTTTCTGAGAAACCAGAAACAACCAATCAGAAGTCTGTGTTGGTCTGCTTGAATAAAGCTACAATTATTTACATGAAATATATATAAATACGTGCTGATTTCCGTAATAAAACGATCTGTTGCCGGCCCTTGTCTTCTGTTGTTACAAGGTAATCGAAAATAGCACTAATGGTATTAATACAACTGAAGGTTTCGCAGAAATAAAGACATTACAAAGAATATTATTATTATTACTCCCTTCAGTGGAACATAGGGCTTCAACAACACATTGCCACTTTGTCCTATCTTCTACTGTCCTCTTCAGCTTGGCCCACGATTGGCCACGATCTCTCATCTACTCCTTGCCACACTATCTCCTCCACGTCATTTTCACACCGACGATTCACTCTTCGCTTCCCATTGGCATTCCACTCGACAGCCTGGTGCATGATTTTATTCGACGGTCTCTTCAATGTATGCCCAATCCATCCCAATTTTTCCCCTACATATTTGTTCAGAAGTCGGCTCTTGCCTGTTAGTTTTTTCCCACAGTTTCTTGCTACTCACTCTTTCTGGCCATTTGATCTTCAGAGCGGAGCCAGTGAAGGCAGCTGTTGATGAAAGTCTGTAACCCCGTTGGGAATCTTTTCCGTCACAGGCTAGCCATGTTTGTGACCCGTATAGAAGGATC